TTTCTTTGCCGCTCTTTCGTTTTCTCTGTAGCTGTGCTCGTCTTTTCTGTGTTCGTTTCCTTTATCTGTGTGTCCCTCTGGTCTTTCTGGGGCTCCCCAGTCCTTCCAGGCGTTTCTCCGGGGCATCATTTATCCGTAGGGCTGCGTTTCTCTGGTGGTGTCGCCGTCTCCACCCCTGCTGCGTCCTCTCTCTGTGCGCATCCTCTGCGTCCCTCGGCCCCGCTGGTCGCTTGTTTTGTGTCCGTGTCTCGGGCTCGTGACTCTGCTTACAAAATCTTGCACTCTCTTTAACACTCTCTCCCTACCCCTTCTCTCCTCCTCTTATTCTCTCTCTTCCTCATTCTCACTCACTCTCACTCACTCTCTCTCCCCCTCTCATTCTCTTTCTCACACTCTCTCCTCTCTCACTCACTCTCACTTTCACTCTCTCCCCCTCTCATTCTCCTCTCTCACTCTCTCACTCACTCTCTCTCACACTCTCACACTCCCTCTCTCATTCTCTTTCTCTGTCACGCTCTCACTCTCACATTCACACTCACTTTCACTCTCTCCCCCTCTCATTCTCTCACACTCACATTCACACTTTCACTCACTCTCACTCTCACTCTCTCATGCATTCACTCTCACCCCTCTCATTCTTCCTCTCTCTCTCACTCACTTTCTCACACATTCACTCACACACTCACTCTCTGCCCCACTCACACTTTCACTCTCTCCCCTCTCATTCTTTCTCTCTCACACTCTCTCTCACACACTCTCACGCATTCACCCTCACTTTCACTCTCTCCCCTCTCATTCTTTCTCTCTCTCACACTCTCTCACTCATAATTTCACTCTGCCCCACTCACACTTTCACTCTCACACTCACTCTCACTTTCCCCCTCACATTCACACTTTTACTCACACTCTCATTCTCACACTCACACTTTCTCTCACACAGTCTCATGCATTCACTCTTTCACTCTCTCCCCTCTCATTCTTTCTCTCTCTCTCACATTCACACTCTCACTCTCTCTCACTTTCACTCTCTGCCCCACTCTCTCACACTCACTCTTTCTCTCACACAGTCTCATGCATTCACTCTTTCACTCTCTCCCCTCTCATTCTTTCTCTCTCTCTCACATTCACACTCTCACTCTCTCTCACTTTCACTCTCTGCCCCACTCTCTCACACTCACTCTTTCACACTCTTATTCTCACACTTTCACTCACACTTTCACTCTCTCATGCTCTCACTCTCCTTCACACACTCATCTCACACTCACACTTTTTCTCTCACACACACACTCTCACTCACATTCACTCACTCACTCACATTCACTCACACTCTCTCTGCCCCACTCACTCACACTTTCACTCTCTCATGCTCTCACTCTCCTTCACACACTCATCTCACACTCACACTTTCTCACACACACACTCTCACTCACACTCACTCTCTCTCTCTCACTTTACCTCTCTCCCCCTCTCATTCTCTTTCTCTCACACTCTCTCTCACACTCTCTCTCTCTCTCTCTCTCTCTCTCACACAGATTCGCCATCTCCTCCAATGCACTGCTATCTTTGGCTACCCCAGCACCATAAACTCAACCCAACAGACCCAGACGCTCCTCTCCTCACCTAGAAGAGCCCTCCAGAGACACGTCCTGTGCTGACTCCTCATCCAAACCCCACATGCCGACCTCACCCCGAGTCTCCTGATTCTCCTCACTTCACTCCATGAACATCCCTGGTACAGCTGACACTCCTGCATCTTCCCATCACTTTGATCCTGCTCTTGGCATCATCCTGCTTTTGCCACACAGAACATGGACTGCTATGGACTGCTACAATGCCACACCGAGATGGTCCTGCCTGTTTTGTCCTTGCTGCAGTCCCTTTTCAGCTTGGAGCTGGTTTCCAGCTTCAGCTCCTGCTTTAAGCCTAATAAACTGTCTTTGATCTCAACCAGCCTGTCTCCTTGCTTGCATTGACACTGCCACACAACTGCTCCACATGTCCCCATGAATCAAGAGGTCCCTAGGTGTAACATTTAGGATACCTTTAGTCACCTTAACGCAATAATCTCTGCATCCCATGCTACTATCCAATATAGCACGCAACAGACACCTCAAAACCCATCCATCTCTACCTAGGACATATGTCACTGACCTCTCTTTACTCAATACTGCTCCTAGGTGGTACCTGCCCAAGCAAGCTCTGACTCTTGTTTCCACACAACAAAAGAGACCAGAACACGACACCTTAGACCCCAAAAGGCGATGCCAGGGCAGGGGAGAGACAGGAAAACATCCCACAGTACCACACACCAGATCCACCAGGACGCAAACTGGAACGAACCAGGCCAAACCCCAACTAAAGCGAATGGTCCTACACCAATCCTCACTGTCGGGAGCCCACCAAGCCCTTTGGGTCCAACATGACCATCTGAACTGTCCCCAAAAGCCCTGCACTGAAGCTAGTGACCAGCCCCCTAGCCAAAATGCCACTGTCCAGCTCCTGTCCCACACACACCCACCCTGCTGTTGCCTCCCATTCCTGTCCCTCAACACAGGCGACATCACCACACGTGGTACCCTGCCCTCCTGCATCCCCATCACTGATGATAACACTTGGCACGCACCCATCCCGAGAACAAATACGACGCCACCAGCCCACCCAAACCATGCGCCTGTGTTGCAGAAACACTACATCCACTCCTCCCTAGCTGATGCACGCTCCTCCTACCAGAGAGGCAACCAAGTTCAACAGGACGTTCCCTTCCCTGTCCACACCTAACGACCACAAAGGCCATTTCCCATAGGATCTGCTCCATCGTTCCTCCACGCACTGACACTGCACTGTCTTCACTTGCCCTGCACCTCCCTCGTGCCCATCCTGTACATCCCATCCCATGCAAGCACCCAGATCCTGAGCAGCCCCAGCTCTGTCAGTACCACTAGGATGAATAAAGACATTTAAAAACCTCTGTGCCGTGTCTCACCGCCTTCTTTTGTCCCTGTTTGATAGGTGTCCCTCTTCTGCGAGCACCGCTCCCCTGTTTTCCTTCACCCTCCTCTCACCCCTATTGCACTGAGAGCCTTCTCTCTGCCCATTCCAACAGCAACTTCAAGACGTGCGTGCAAAGCCTAACCTCGCCGCCCTTTCTTTTTCCACCTGAACGCAGAGATATCGGTTCCCCGCTGGGAGGGCCTGCTCCCAGGCTGACAAAGGCCAGTCCTGACAACCAGCTTCATAACAACACTCCAGCTACCGCGCACTAGCATCCTCCAGCATTGCTGCCATATACATACAGGGAATGCTCTCACCAATCTGAGAAGTACACAGCCCACAGCCTGTAAACCCTTGAAAAGTGCTTTCCCAAGGACCACTGCTCCCTACCTCCAGGACTGGCTCATTGCCACTCTATTGATGGTTACGCTCGCTGCTCCCCAAAACTTGCTGACCCTCTTGCCGCAAGTTGGATGCCTGCCCTCATGTCTCCCCCAGTCCCTTCCACTACCTCACAAAAGACCTTGACATCAGCCTGGCCGAGGATGGCACCAAAGGCAGGTCTGTCTCTGCTTGGTCCAGCCCACAGTCCAATGTACACGCAACTGCTCACACTCCCAATTCTCTTCTCCATCCCACTGAGGAGGACATGGGAGGGAAGGAAGGAAGGAGCGAGAGACCAAGCAAGGCTTCAGTACCCTGATATTACACCACAACGCTCACATGGCTGTGTCCTGGACTCCAGCATGGTCCAGCCCTCACCCTGGCTATCAGCTCCCTCCTTGACCCCATAACTTCCTGACCATGCTCAGCTAATCCACGAACACCCAATACTCTATGTGCCAAGTGCACCCTGCTCTGAGTCCTTCCTCGTAGAGGAGATGCTCCAGTGCCCTCATCATCTCTGCAGCTCTACACTGCACTTACAGGGGGGAAATACTCTCCCCTGCACCTCGTGGGCACCAATGACTCCTCCCAGCTCGCTCTCACATGTCTCTAGCGCCAGGCTTGCCGATGCCCTTCACCTACAGCCAAACGCATGCACAGCCCCCACCTCCACCCCAAGACACCGAGCGCTCTCCAGGGCACAACACAGCCCATGAGAGTGCACATCCAGGAAGGCCACAGGGAGGGTCTTGGCATCACCGTGCCTTCAATGGGCTCCCTGGGCGCACGATGGGTCCACCGCTTCCCCATCACCAACACACCCTTGCACTCCCAGAGTGCACACAAGGGTGGCCTCTATCTCACGTGGGATGCAGTTGCCTGCCACGGCACAATTTGCCCAGACACTGCCAAAATCCATGCTGGCACAGATGCTCTGCTCACTGCATTACCACTCAATCCTGCTGCCTGACCCTATCCTGTCAGGCCAGAGCCCTGCCAGCCACCGTAGGCTCGTGATAGCCCCTCAGCTTGCCACAATGTCACACAGACACCACACAGCCACACGCCACCTTCCGAAGGACAGCTCTCCGCTCCTCAAACACCTTCCTGCCCTCACCGAAACGACCGCCCAGGCACCACGCACACCGCACGCCAACGTCTACAGCGTGACACAACCACTGCCGACGCTTCTGCCATCACAACACCCCCAACACACATCGCACCACGCACGTGCTCACCTGTCCTGGGCCCTGGCCTCAGCCCTGCTCTCCAGCGATGCTGTGGCTCGCCGGGAGCCTCCTCTCTCCCCGCTGCCCTGGCTACGCAAAAATAAAACAGCGGCCAGTGCTGCACTGCCACGTGTCCTCACACACCCGTGAGCCCGAGCGCTGTGCCCGCCACTGACCACCACCGAGCTGTGCAGGCCTGCTCAGGCCTCTGTAGATCATCGTTCGATGCATCCTCTCGCTGGTTGAGGGTTGTGCCTTTTAGCAATAATCAATGTAGCCAGCTCTGCTTCATCTCTCCATCGCCGGCCCCATGTCCACCTTGCCTCCTCCTCCTCTTCTTCCTCCTCTCCTCCTCCTCTCCATACCTTGCTGCAAACAAACCAGGGCACCTACCGTACAGGATGATGCTGGCATTGGTGTTGCCCAGCTTGTTGGTGGCCACGCACGTGTAGTTGCCGTAGTCCTTCTCCGAGACGTTGAAGAAGGTCAGCGTCGACAGGCGGCCCTTGCTCTCGATCCGCACGCCCTCCAGCCCGTTCGCTAACCTGCGGGGACACAGGGACGACATCGCTCAGAGCATTGCAATGGATCTCGCCCCTTCCCTTCCCACTGACCGACACCTCGCAGCACCCACATGCTCCCCCACCCAACCACCCACATCCCTCCTGGATGAGCCATTTGCACTGCACTGCTCCCCAAAAATGCCCCACGTTCTCCATCCCATAACCCATCTCCTGTCACAAACCTCTGCAAACCACCTCACTGGGGAGAAACAACCCCGGGACCCCCTCAGTCCCGAGCTGAGTGCTCCGACCCACCTAAACACCTCCATGCCAGCTTTTCTCCACGCAAGGCCCAAAGCCAGCCCTGAGGCTGGCACAATCACCCCCCACCTCACCACAGCACTGCACGCCCTGACCTGGTGTCCTCCTTGAACCACTGAAACTCCGCCACGGGGACGGCCGAGGCCTCGCACTGCAGGATGCCCTTCTGGCCCACCGAGGCGCCCGTGTTCTTGGCGTTGGAGATGTACGGCGGATCTGCGGAGACACCGCGCCATGTCAGGCCGGGCCCCGCAGCGTCCCACCCCGCCACGGTTCCCCCAAATCCCCGGCACTCACAGTTGACGGTGACTTTGACTTTCCGCACGTCCGGGACGGCCACGTCGTTGACGGCGCTGCACTCGTACTCCCCGGACTGCTCCCGCGTGATGCCCGTGATCTCCAGGTACTCGTCCTCGCTCACAAAGCCCTGCCCTGGGGGACATCCCAAGCACATGGCACCGTCACCCTACGCCCATCAAACTCCAAACAGCGCATAACCCCCATCCCTCTTCTCACACTGGGACACAACCCAAGGGTCAGCACCTCTACCCTCCCCGAGGGATGCCAGCAAACCACGGATGACCTTCACGCCACCTCAATTCCCCTCTGTGGGGACATCTGTCCATCCTGCACGGCCCAGCGTGGTCTCACCTTTCCCGGAGAGGTGCCGCCACGTGACGGTGGGCTCCGGCCTCCCGAACGCCAGGCACATGAGGGTGACGCTGCTGCCCTCGTTCACTGTGATGTCCGACGAGATGTTGACGATCTGGGGGGGAACTGCGGGACACAAAGAAAGGAAGGCCACCATCACCACACCAGCTCACCAGACCACGACCACAGGACCCTCCCCATCACCCTGTCTGCCCACCAGCCCCACATCTCCAACCACAGACCGAGGCAGGGGCCAGAAACATCCGCTACCCTCCCCCAGTCCTTGCCTGAGACCCCAATAACCAGCGTCTCGTTATGGCCTGCAATGAGGCTCATATTTTAGCATATTTATTAAAGCTGTTTAAATTACTGAGCGTCTGCTCCATTCCGTCCCGGCCACAGTGATTTATATTACTCTATCCCCAGATACTCTGTCTAATAAATAACTTGGCAATCTCCGCACCCATAAATACATTCCCAGCCCTGGCAAAAAAAGCAATTAAAGCCCGCTCGACGACGTTTCCCGGCGTTCTGGGCCACGGGGCAGGAGAACGTGACCCCCCAAAACCATCGACGCCCCAGGGAGCTAACAAGCCTGTACAAAACAACCTGCCCAAAATAAAATACTGCTCCTACGGTGCCAAACAGGACAACCTCGAGCGAGCCTTTGGAGAAAACAGGTTTTCCCGCACCCGCTCTTTCCTTGGCACGGAAGAGGCGGCGCAGGCTCTGCGGCCCGATGGGCTCCGCCAGGCAGTAAATTTCCCGGCAACTTGACACGTTAATATAGAAGTACAGTCTGTTATAGCAGAGGGAGATTGTCTGAGTCCTTCAGGGGAAAGCGGCAATCCAAAAAATGAAAAGCATGCACCGGAGACTGCGGGAAAATGTAGTTAACGCTTGGAGCGGAGCCGGCAGAGCCCCGTCAAGCCCTGCCACAGGAACAGCCCTTCCTCGCGCAAAGACATGAGGTTATCCTCTGTTGCCAGCATCCTTGCACCTCTCCCCTGCACTAACAGCCCCTCCACAGCTAACATGTAAAAACAGCAGTGTCCTTTCCACAGCTGGGCATTTCCACAAGCAAGCATGCAAAGGCGTCCCTCACCACAAGCACTTTTGGATGCTGAGACCCTAGGATGCCCCTGCTCCTGGCAGCAGCCCGTCTCGCCCTTGCATGCTCTTACCTACAAAACCCATGGAGCAGGACAGGAGCGATGGTGTCCCATGCAGGGTGCCAGGAAAATCCTGGCCATCGCTGTCCCTGCCATGTGTCCTGGCATTTCTCTGGGATGACCCCCCTGCTTTCTGCCTCACTCTACCCGAGGAGCTATGCAAGACACAGATTACAGGGGGAAAAAAACAACCCAAAACTCGACCATTGTGTAGACATTATCTGCTTCTCACAGCTGTACTATGCATACACGTTCCTGGTACACACTAATGCCTGCAGGTGAGCCCAAATACTCAGAGATTACTCCCTCAAGAGGCCCCATATACTGGGAGCTCCTCTCCCTCCCTGCAGCACCGCATCATGACAAGGGTGACTAAAGGGACACGGAGCAGAGCCCGGATTGTGCCGTCCACCCCACTATTTTAGTTCCTGACTGCACCAGCACCCCAGCTGCTGGGGTCTTTGTGCCCTCCCTGAGTGTTCGTGGTGTCGTTCAGCTCTGCATCCCAACTAAAAGCTAAAAAAAACTACATACAACAGGAAAAAAGTACATCCAAGGAAGCTGATACATGTGCCACAGCAGATACAAGACCCACTGCATAGGAGGCAAATTCAGCTACGCATGCAGGGAGCAAGCTGTGGTTTGCCAGGGCACAAAAAATACCACTACCTTTAACCAAATGGCCCCAATGCTCATGTTTGGCAAAACCTCAGTAAGTGCCACCATGTCCTGCTCCTGCCCGCCCTGATCCGATCAGAAATGCCCCCAAAAACCGTCTGGGATGTGCGGCACAGGGACTCCCATATGCAGAGCACGGGGACCCCACCGGACAGCTCGATACCCACCACTATGGCGATCGTTGCCTACAACGTTACTGCAACTTGGAGAAGGACATCGGAGTCCCTTGATTACATTTCTATAGATCCCGCCCGCCAAGCTGCCGAGGACGGCATCTCAAGGGCACGCTGGCTTCACCTCATGGGGACATAAACCCATGGGAGGAGCAAGTGGGAGCTGGGGATCACACAGATGGTGGCAGACAGGACATGGAGCCAGTCCGAGCAGCTCCTGTTAGCCCGCACACACAGTCATACAATAACAAAGGAATAACATGAAAGGTCAGAAAGCAATAGGGTGACACGCAGTCCCTATCCTCCTTTATTCCCAAAGACCACAACTACAAGCAAACGGCATCCAGAATAAACCCGGAGAAAGCGAGGAGCGGCACAGTCTCGCCGGAGCGGCCCCATGGAGGATTTCATCGACCCTGTGTAATATTAATCACGGCTAAGTTAATGCATAATGTTTGGTAGGGCAAAAAATACATTTGTGCTGTAATTTCTTGTTTGTTCGGGAAGCCGGCGAGAGAAATTGAATGTGAAAGCGATGCCACTAAATTCAATAACAATAAGCCCGTGATTTATCTCCTTCCTTTACCGCTTGAGACCCGAATCGCCCGACTGATGCTCTCAGTCGGGCCCGGGAGGGTGCAGGATCCCAACACCGTTTGTGGGGACCATGGGACGCCCTCCCTCCCAAACTGGGGGCTGCAAATAGCCCTGCCCTGCAATGCTACGTGCCCTGCTCAGGATATCGCTCATGAGCACGGCCGAGCAATCCCTGGGACTGTCCTAAACGCCACCAGCTCAGGTTTCAAGTGAGGAGGGACAGCCACTGTCTCCCCCAAAGAGGTGCGGGTCAGGCCCGTGCCGGTGGGGACGCCTCTTCCCTGCTGAGCCGTGCGGGACCAGACATCCCGCCGGTGACGGCTGCGTGACCGCTGACTGCACGTGACGCTGACACACACGACCACGCGCAGGCTGACTCATCTCCCGCCGCTCCCCGCTGCAGGCGCTCACGGCACCGGCCTATTTTTGGCTGCTGAATCGTTACTGCCGCACGCCTCGGAGCTGAGAGTCTGCACGAGCGCCACCGCTGACACAGGCAACCGATGTCCCTCCTCTACTTCCTTAGCTCCTGATCTATTAAGAGAGACCTCTTCCCACACCCTCTGACAAGGTGACACGATAGATGGATACCTAGGGGGTCTTCAAACCTCCAGACGGTGGCCACTTGCTCACCTCTCCTCCCTGGCACCCCCGGTTCCCTGCAGCCCCACGCGCCTCCGGCTCTGCGGGAGCTTCCCCGCCGCAGGCAGCACGGAGCTGTCAGAGGTGTCACCGTGCAAGGGCTCATTAACACAGAGAAAGTCAGCATAAAGGAGGCAAATATGCCAAAAGCTGACTTTTTGCCCGTGCTTTCCATCTCCTGTCTGCTGAAGGCACCACCACGCAAGATCTTCCCAGGAACAGCTCCTGTCTGTGCCCGATGCCCTCATTGAAGAGATGCGGGCACGCTCTGGTCAGGGAGCCTCTAACATCAGAGAGAAATGGATGTCTTTGGCCATCCTAGCTTGACCACCACCAAATTATCTTTGATTTTGGGGTGCGGCTGATGGCCACAAAGCTGAGCAGGGTAACCCCAGGGGATCAACCACTAATGAGACATCTCATAAATGAAACAGCGATAGCGAGTGCCCCGTGCAAGGCGGCGTCTCCCGACCGCTCACCGCGCACCCTTCTCCTCCAGGTTTTCGCGCTGTAGACAGGAAAAGTAATAAAACCAAAACTCAGAGTGTTATACCTACTGTGTAACCACCTGTCAGTAAATTTATGAACAATTAGGAAGCGAGAGTGCTTCCCAGGGAGCTATTTGTGCGCCCGCTAAACCATTCTTTCTGCTCAAAATATAACGGGGGAAACAACAACTCCTCCTTCTCACCCATTTTCGCTTTTTGCAGTAATTAATCGGCTGCTGCCGCACCTTCCTTCGATCGGTCCCGGTCCTGACGGCTCTGTGCCCAACAGCTCCTTTCTGCCAATTTTGAGAAGCCTTGAGAATGGGAGCTCATAATGAGTGGCCCATAATGGGATAGGCAGGGAGTGGATGCTTTCCTTTGGACACTGTGTGTCACCCGAAAAGACAGACATGTACTCCGAGCCCTGAGAACCTCCATCACCATTCATACAAAGCCACGATCCAAAATCCATGTGAAATCTTGCCACGTAAAGCAACGGGAACCTCTGCCAACATTTTGCACCACTCGTTTCGCATCACATTTACTGCACATCATCTCTTTTCCTATCATCTTATTTCTTAGGTAGAAAAACCAACACCCAAACCTGACCAGTAAGGGGTCAGCATCCCCAGTACTCCCAATTCAGGAGGTGAGTCTGCTCTGGAGGTTGCAGCCTGCATCGCTGCCTCTCGCCTTTCCCTTCTCCAAACTGAGCTGTATCTGCACCACACACACCTTACACCAAACTCTCCAGCATCCAAATGATAAGCACTTGATATATCAACACTTTCTATGCTTTCTTGTAGAATCTGCAGTGTTGGGAAAGCCCAGAGCATCGTCTGTGCTGGGGAAGAAGAGCCTGATGGGGCCAGCATGGGGCAGGAGTTTTGCTCTTTCAGAGACTCTGAGAGCTCCAGGAGAGCATCCTGATGTGGTTCTATAAAACTGACCACAAGTTTGCTACTGCAAACCAAGGCCATGGTCCTTCAAAACCCACCCTGGAAAAACCTAGATGGAAAAATGGATCGTGCCGACCAGAAACTAACAGTAACGATGCTGACAGAGGCTCTAATGAAAAGTCTATGGTGAGCAGGATTAATGCAGTACAGGGGAGGGTTCTCTAAATAAATCAGAAACAGAGGGCATCTGAGGAATACCAAAACCTACTGTTATGGAGCAACGGTTCAACATTCACCACTGGACAGGGTGCCGTGCCATGTGCGGATCCCAAAGCTACACCACGCTATGGTGGGCTTCGCAGGGGGTTGTACCTAAAAGCATCCATCCTGTTGTCACAAGGTGGTCCCAAAAAAAAAAACGGGAAATGGGAGACAAAAAAACCCACACCTCTGGCTTCCTGCCACCCTTGTTAACAGCTGCTGCAATGAGCCAGTCCAAGAGACGTATTAATAACCACGCTACGAGACGCGTTTGCTGTTGACTGCGGCTCCCTGGCAGATTTATCGCTGGGTTGCGAGGAGGGAAGGCTGGGCCCCGCAGTAGCACAATTAAAACCCGATTGAATGCGGGGACAAAGAATCAATACTCTGGCCGGCCAACTTTTAGTTGTGCAAAATACAAATATAAATTAATGGACCTGAATTCGCGTGGCTGCTAACTGGTTGTTCCTGCCAGCTGGCACGGGCAAGGCGTGTTGTTGGGGCACGCGTGGCCATCCTCCTGCCACCTCCTCAATGAAGGAGGGCCCCAAACCTCCCTTTTGAGTCCCTATTTCATCCAAAACATGGCTTTGCTCCTTCCCTGCAAGGTTATTTGCTCTCGTAGACAACTGGCTCTCACCCAGCACGCGAGCACCAAAACCACCGGCCCTCAGCTGCACCAATGGTGCCATGGGGGCCACGCCACTCAGACTAAGCCATCATAAAGCACATTTTAGCCACCAAGGGACTGCACTGGAGCTGGATTTGGGGCAGAATACTGAAGGATTTGCTTCTCTGGCCGCCACCATCAAGGGGACAGCAAGGCGGCATCTACAGATGCACTGTGTCAGCAAACCTACTTAGGGAAAACATGTTTCAGTTTGCCGAGGCAGCTCACCTGATGGTTTTGGTGTTCCCATGCTGGTTAAGAGCCAGTACCAATTCAACGGGACTCGCTCACAGCAGAGGGAAACTTTTCCGCTGCCGCTTCGCCTCATTTCATGAGGTGCAAAGCGCTCGGGTACTTTGCCGGTGTTGACCGGATGGATTAGCACGATTAGAGAGCAGACAGGATAAACAGATTAAACTTCACAGATGGACGGCTCGCACGCAACTCAAAAAGGGGGAGAGGGAGAGGCTGTGCTGAAGGGAACGGAGAGGATGCTCCCAGCACTCCTCTGCTTCCTTCTTCCCGAACCAAGCGCTGTCGGACCCCCGACATCAGGTGTAAAACCACTCAGATGGGTGGCCACAACCAGACCCTGCCTCCTCCAAATGAGAGGGATACATAAATACGAACATATCCATGTCGGGGGCTTCTCAGAGACGTGTCGAGGCCGAGAAATTTTTCAGATTTGCTCATTGCAAAATCAATACCCATCAGCTGTTTGAAATTAGAGGGAAGATTAGGTCCTGGTTTTATACGCGCTTTATTGTATTCTGAGAGCTTTCTACTCAGCCAGATAAATCTTCTTTAAGAGGATTAGGAAACTTTCATTATCTTTATCTAACCTGAACTAACAGTTACTCTGAAAAATTAATCTACAGACTGGACAAAAGCTGGTAGCCGGTGCAAAACTGTGAGGATCCGGGGTCCTATGGATGGCTCCGATCCGCTGGCACCTGGATCCCCCCCATCACAAAAACCTTGGGAACGCCACCCCACAACCCAACAGCATCCACTATGCCAACACATTTGCCTAGGAAGCCCTGTGCCAAAAGCCCTTCTCAGTCCCACAGCCACTCAGACCCGCATGAAAAGCGATGGACATTGGTCCAATCCCTACATCTGCATCACCAAAAGGACCTTTTAAACCCTTCCCAAGTCCCCCACATCCATCCACATCAACAGGGCACTGCAGCAACAGCCCGAGGCGCGTTAGGACCTACCTTGCACGATGAGATGGACGCGCGAAGTCTTGGGGTGATTGTCTGTCTGCACCGAGCAGGTGTAGGGGCCCTCATCGTACACATCCACGTTGTGGATCTTGATGCTGTACTGGGTCTTGGTGTTGGAGAGGATGACCACGCGGTTGTCTATAGACCACTTGTCATTGCCGGCGTACAGGATGGTGCTGCGGTTCAACCACGCCACCCGCGTCACCCTGTCATCCACGGTACACCTGCAAAGAAAAACAGGGGCCGGTCACAACTGCGGGGCGGCACACACAGCAAGAACCCCGACTCCCCGAAGTGTCTTTTATACAGAGCTGAGGAGCCGCAGAGCAAAACCCCGTTACATATGACCTCCGCAAGCGGCGACTTCCCACACCGCCCCCCTCTGCTGATCCCCCTCGCCACGCACGGACAATTTCGGATGAAGCTGTAAAATTTGCTGACAGTTCGGCGCGTTGGCGCAGCCCTCGAGCCATCCCCGGGGGTGATATACGCCCCCGCTGCCGGGGGACAGGGGCCGTGGCACACACAGAGAGAAACAGCCGGAGACGGCGTGCGAGGAAGAGAAGGGAACATTAGGATAAGCAGCTGTAAATCCTACAAGTGCCTTAGAAACACAACGCGGTCGTTGCCGTTATTTATTTCCTCTCCGCTCCGAGACGCGTGGGGGCTCGGCGGCTCCGGTCCGTGGTGCTGACTTACGCTTGGCAAAGAGCAGAGCGGTGGAAGAGGAGGAGGAGGGGGAGAGGGAATTAAAATGTTGCCGGAAAACACGGCTTTTCCATTCCCTTTGATAGATTTTCCTCCATCTATTTACTTCTGGCCTCCTCTGCCGCTGCCGCAGCGCCCGCAGCAAAACCGACAAGCCTTTGGCTAAATTAAGAGCGTGGCATTTCTCAGGAGCTTTGTCTTTCGCACCCGAGGACTGCGGTATGGGAGCTTTCTCTCGGTGTGAAAACAAGACAGGAAAGCAAACCTAGGCACTGGCTTGTGTGGCTGAGATCTTAGGGAAAAGGGACCTGCAGTGAATCAAGTAACTCATGCGAGTCTCCTTCCACATGGCTTTAAATTCAAAGACACGCTGGCAGGCTGTCCCTGTCCCCATCCCTGCCACGGTGCCTCTACTGCACAGGCTTAGAGGGTGTTTATATGTCTCCCTTGCTGGGACCACCGAGCGTCACCTCGATCGAGATTATTAATCGGGCGGAGGGAAGGGGCGATGCCTGGCATGTTTGAGGGGACCCCGGGCGCTCGGTTCACGGGAACGAGCTGTATTTCCTCCCGCAAAACAAGTCATTTGTCCCTTGCAGGAGCCGTACGTCTGCGCCAGGCGCATGACGTACGGACACCGGGAAGGACGGACGGTCCTCGCCTCGGTTCTGCCGGACGGAGGCGGCCTCGTGCCGGTGAATGGCATCGTCCTTGTCGGGAAGCCGAGCTCTCCCTTCCTTCAAATTAACTGGGGGAGAGCTAAGCACAGTCGAGTTAAGTTTGGCCCTGGGGGATTCCAGTCTAGTGGACTATTACTGCTGTCTCACTTCATTATAATGAATAATAAAGAGATACTTACACACGGCTTCTGTAAATTATTCATTGCGTGCACCGAAAAATCAGGGCAGCAATATGTAAAACAGACAACTTGCATGTCTGCACTCATCTAAATATCCAGACTACAGCCCTGCGAGGAACTCTTGGGTCCCCTCATTAGGGGCAAAGCACAAGGACTGGGGTTTGAAGTGACGGCAATGAAGAGCTCGTGTCATCACATAGCAGGAGTGCTTCACGGGGAGATTTGGGTGGGGGGCCAGGACCCCCAGGGCTCACTCATTCTGCATTGACAGCTCCCATCTATGGCTCAGAGCCACCTCTGCATGAATGCACAGGGATGCTCGTACCATGTGAGGTACCACACCATTGAGGAAGGGCAAGGACAGCATCACCCTCCCTTCCCCACAGCACATGGAGACCAGTACCACTTTCGAACCCACTCAGAGCAAATGGGTAGGAACAACTTGGAGATTACTCCTTCTACCAAACTCATGCCAAGAGCAAGGAGGCCAAGGCTCCCTCTCCCCATCCCTCCAGCTCATTCTTCAGTTGCTGCCACTCAACAGCCAATTTGGGACCACATTCCTTCGCATCCTGCTCCTCTCCACCAGAGCCAGGGCTATCCCATGCGGCTGAAGGCAAATCTTGATGGACACCCCAGTGCAAGGAGCTCCCCGTCAGCATCGTTACTCGGTGATCTCCATTAGCGGATGAGCCGCCAGCGCTTCCCTCGCCTGCCGAGCCGTCTTTGCTACCTATTTCCAATTGACCAGGATTATGATAATGTCTCCGGTAAGCAAACAGGTAAAGAGACTTCTGCAAAGTGTTTAGATAAAGCAGACAAGCTCTGACAAAGCTGGATAATAAAGCGGGCCAGGAGGTTTTTCCCTTGAAGGGATCTAATTAAGAACAAAGACAAACCCCCATTAACAGGCTCCTGAAGGCACCATATCCATCTCCAGAAGAAAAAGTCCAGAAGGGAGAAAAGACAATAAAGCGCCTGTCAGAAGGGAGGAAAATAACCCCATCCTGCCTCCACAATTCACCTGGAGCAAACCCATCAGCAGGGGGGAACATCTCAGGACCAATATCATCAGACCAAACCCCATGCAGTCCTTCTTCATGCAATGCGACCCATCCCACCCGCTCCTCCATCTCTGCATCCCACTTAGACCCTCGCCGCCTTCAAGCAGAGACTTTTCCCCATCTCAGCCCTTTGGCTGCCTCCCACCACGACCACTTTCAGTCAAAGAGGCTTGTCAAGGAGCTTCAGATATTGAGCATCCCCCCAATGCTCGCACGCGGCCTCTCAGGCGATGAACCTGAACGTGGCGCCGCGACAAGATGCATGAGGGAGGGAGCTGGGGGTGGCGGCGCTGTGCCACTTTCCCTCTAATTGCCCCTATTCCTCATCCTTAAATGCTAATTTTGAAGTTCACCAAGGAATTATTTCACTTAGTGTCAGCAATACGGATAACTCCGCTGATGCGCTCCTTGTGTTTGGCGACACGTGCCGACCGTCCCCCTCCTCTTGGACCTATTAGGAGAGACCCCCGCGTCGCTCCCACCACAGGCTCCTGCCCGGCCCCATCAATGATGCTGACAGTGCTTCTCCTAAACGTAAAGCAAATGTTACATACCCCAATCTATGGCTGCAAAATATCTCAAGGAATGGGATGCGTGGGACCCCAAAGCCCTGATGCGCATCCTGAGTGGTCTGGGTGACTGGTTCGCACCTGCAGAGCTGGGTTCAAAGTCTCAGAGGAGTTGCTCGTCTTTGGCTCGACCCCAAACCTGCCCGCTTCCTCATGCAAACCAACAACTTTTAAATATTTCCATGGCCCTTCACCTCCAAAGCGCACTTCTCTCCCGTAGGCACCGCGTCTCGTCACGATGACAAATGGAGATGCCGAACCCGGTCACCAACTCGCTGCCTGACCCAGTTTTCCACAGCTAAAATAGCTCGCCCGGATCGGGAGCAAAGCCCTTCGATGGCGACAGGGTGCTGCTTCCCACCAAAATTCCTCATCACAGGGGCAATGAGAACAGCCAGGCACCCTCGTCTTTGAGAAAACATTGTTAATTACGTTTGTGGGGGACTCCTAATGGGATTTCTTCCGGTCCTTGCCCCAGCTACGCAGCAAACAGGCCCCGAACGCCTTTTATTCCAGGCGGCTGGAGCAAAGGCAGAGGAGATTTATTTGTAATCATCGGCAATAAACACGCTTCCTCAGAAGTAAACACAAAAGAACAGAACCTGGCGGGGCTCCCGCTTCGTTACAGATGCAAATGAGAAGCAGGGCATCAAAACGCGGCGGCTCTTCTAATCCTCTCCCAACAATGTGAAGCATCAAATCAGCCGCGGGTACAATGGCATCTGCGGCGTGTGACGGCGGCTTCCCGAGGGCAGGACTGTGCCGCTGCGGTCTCCGTCACTGTCATTCCTGGTATTTATTCTTGCTGCACAGGGCAGGACTCACTTTGTCTTCATTCCCCATCCCTTTCGCTGTCTCCTTTCCCAGCCATCCACCATATATCTTCTCTCATCCATCCTGGTGCCCGGATGCAGGGTGTGGACCCCTATGGCATCCCTGCACCCCAAGGATGGAGGGGACCCGGGATGTGCCCTGTGTGACAATTTTGCCCATCGCTGCTCCCCGCGAAAAAGCCCAAGCCCAAATTGAAAACATTAGAGGCTGCTAAATATAAAATATCCATCTGCGAAGATAATAAGCCTGCGAGGGCAGGGGCTGTCGAGTTGCTCTGTTTCAGATAGTTTAATGGGGTTTTGGTCCGTGACTGCAGCTCCCAGACATTAGAATAATAACAAGATGATGAGGAGGGCGGGAGCTGTCTGTGAGAAGCATCAAAAGTCAAGGCTTAACGCTCGCTGTGCAGCCCACAAGATGGGCAGGGCTTTGGGTGGCCTCTGTGGCAACCCAGGGGGTGCAAAGTTTGCGCTTGATGCCACACTTGAGCCAATGTTGGCTTGGGGACGGGACTGTGCCTGCCTTAAGCATCAAAGGGGCTTGTACATTGCCTGCATCCCAGTCTGGGAGCCGCAGACCCGGGTACCACAACGCGATGCTATCGCTAAGTGACCACATCTTCACGCCAAAGCCATTCTCAGGGTTTTCTGAAATAATGCTCCACATCAAGCACATCCAGAAACCACAGTCAGCTCTATTAGAGCATGCCAAGCTTTCCTTTTCATTCCTAAACCCCTTCTTCCTTGCTTTTATTTCCATCTTGCAGGGATGCACGCATCCCTGACAACATCACCAGCAAGGGGAAAGGGGGCGTGATGGAGCTGGGCACGCTCTGCTCCTGGATCCCGCTTGATTTTCCCACCATAACTCCCTCATTTCTGCCACGACAACGGTTATTAGCTTAAGAGAAATCTTCATAAGGAAAAGTGAGGCAGCAGCAGAAGAAATAAAGTGGGAAGCCTCCGAATAGAGCAAATCAATGGGGATGTTTATAGCACTGAAATGCTAACGTCGGGATCAGTCCGTGCTGGTGGCTGCACCTGATCTCCCAAAAGGAGATGAAAATGAAGGCACGGAGTAGGGACAACCAGTCCAGAAAAAAGGGCAGAAAAGTCCCAGAAGAGCAGCAAGGCATCTTTCCTCACCCAAAACTGTACATAAGTGACTGCACTCTCTCCCCGACACAGCCAGGCACTGATTTCCACCTTGCTCATGGCTGCTGGGCCACCCTGCGGACTGAAGAAGCTCTTTCCAGCTCCTCTCCAAAGACATGACCAACATCCACCATCGAGGCATTGCCACCCATCCTAGGAACCATCAGAGAAGCCGAATTCCCCTCTACCCCTTAGCAGAAAAGACAAGACCCGACGAGAGATGTCCACCAACACCATCACCGCGTTCGAGGGTGCTGATTGCGGGGCTGCGATCCGGCCAACTCCCCAGTGTCAGCATCGCCCCGCGCCTCAATCAGCGCCCGTGTAGGGATTCAATCAGCGCCAATCTAACACAATGCAGCACCTGCGCCCCGGCTGATTTCTAGTGTTCTTCAATCAAAAGCAGGAGCAGAAAACACCGCGTTCATCGCTGGCGGTGCGAGCAGACCCAAACGGGTGAGAACCTGGAGCCCGCTACGCCGGCGGCGGGGTTTTGGGATGGGATGGAGCGAGGGGGAAGGCTGAGCTCTTCTGCCACCCACCCCCCCCATTAACTACCACCCAAAAAGATATTTGTCATGAGACGCCCGCTCCTATCTCAGTGGCTCTTAAGGGTAATGGAGAGGTTTCAGTCTTTGGAGGATAAGTCTCAGGCTGTTGGCTGCTCGCCCGGGAGGATTATTTTACATCAGGTTGAGTTCTGTAGTAATTATCTTCAAAACAGCTGGACTGCTGGATAAACTCCCTGTATCTTAATGCACAACACTAGAGCAAAGACGGGGAATTAAACTGCAATTTCAGACGGGCTTGACAGATAGGCGGAAAAACCACTCGCTGGTGTTTTGGACACGTTAGGGGTGGGAAGGCGTTTTCTCATTTGAAATCAATTCCAACTGCCCCCGAGACAGAGTGGAGGGGGAAAGGAGATTTGAGATGAAGATGTTTCACCCCCAAGGTCTCAGTGGAGGAAAAAAACACCATTTTCCTGACTCTTCCAGCTAAAAAATGAATGATCCCGGCTGGAAAGCTCAGCATTTTGCACAGCCTCAAGTCTTTGCTAAAAGCCCAACGTTTGCCAGCGCTCGGCTCCATCACTGGGAGGAAAGAAAAGGGAAAAAAACCAGTTTCCTTCAGGATGGTGTTGCCATAAGATACGGCAAAATGTAGTGAAATCCCCGCAGGCAGAACTAAAAACCTCTAGAAAGAAGGAAATCCAGCTGATGGAGGGTGAAGCCGTATTTTACAATGGATGCCCATCACGCAATCTGTAAATGACCTGGGTGAGCCATCAGCACCAGAACCTAATGGCCAATTTGTGGGAATTTCACCAGCGATCAGGCAAAATAAAACAACCCAGGTGACGGCCACCGCGTGAAGACGTCGTCACGGGCGCGAGGTGCCATCGGCCACCCCTGTGCCACCCAAAACCCCTCCCTTCTCTCCCGTATCCCCTTGTCCTGGCATCGCCGAGTGCCCGATCCCGACCACCCCGGCGCAATTAGGGGGTTTATTTGTTTGAGTTGTACGTGAGCCTACCCAAATTACATTATCAGATCATAGTCCCGCTTCTGATTTATTCCTTCTTTGTTCTTCAAGTCTTCGTACATCTAAGCAATTAACCTCTCAAAGAGCTGGAGAACACATAATTATCCTCATTTGTCTAAACGTCACCAAGATGGCTGCCTTTCAATTAACCTTCTGGGAACGGAGGGAAGTTGGAGTGATACAGTGATCATTTCCAACTTCGGCGCAGGCTTTTTCTCCTCTCTTTTTTTTTTTTTTTTTTTCCCCTCCCCTTAAAGTAATTTAATTGAAATATTCAGATGATAAAATATAGCCAGATAACTATTTCTGCAGGTAACGGGATCAAGAGGGGGCTCGCAATCGGAAAAAAAAAGAAGTCAAATGAGGTATAGTAATATTATATCAATACGCGGCACCGCCGGCTAAAAATATCAAAGCACTTTGTGCTTATTAATGGAGCCTTTTGCCGGCCTCACGTCACCTCTGCATATCACTGCTACCGATGGGGAAACTGAGGCAGGGGAAGGTTGCTCCCTAATGAAGTTAGAACAGGAGACGCGGCCATGACCGAGCTGCTTTTCCTCTTTATTATTTGAATAACAGCCCTGGTTTTGCTGAGATGGAGCCGGGGATTCAGTCCCACCCCTCGCTAATAAATATGCATCGCAGGTCAAACTTTGCACCCGTGTTAAGCAAGGCACCAGCGTCGTCTGGCACACGCGAGCCCTATTTATGCACGCCCCCGCGCGCAAATATATAGGGAAAATAAACAAGTTCATCGCGTCTCCTCCCCGACAAGCGTGGCTTCTCGATTCCCCTGCAGCTTCGCTCCCAGCGCGAAATCGAGCCCTCCAAAACGCAATTTCAACTTTCTGCCTCCCCGCAAATTTGGGAGAAGCCGAGACGGAGCATCTCTGCGAAGGGAAACTGAGGCACCAAGAGATGCACAGGACTCCTTCCCTCCCACATTGGTACTTGAGCAGGGAGGAAAGGAGGTGGGAAAGGGACAGGGGACGCTGTTAGGGACTCCATAAAACTGCGTCTCTGCCAGTGCGTTCATCCGGAGAGACGAAGTGAGGCAAACACAATAGCCACCCAGTTTCTTCTCGGCACAGGCTGACGGCGCCGTAATTAAAATGCAAGCCCGAGTCACGGTACCTATCAATAAATCTTTCGCTTTTGGCTCTCGGGCTT